GGGGTTACATCCGCACTTGCTGCAACAGCAGGACTTCTGGTTACAACAGCAGGGGTTACATCCGCACTTGCTGCAGCAGCAGGACTTCTGGTTACAGCAGCAGGGGTTACAGCCACACTTGCTGCAACAGCAGGACTGTGGCTTACAGCAGCAGGGGTTACACCCGCACTTGCTGCAACAGCAGGACTGTGGCTTACAGCAGCAGGGGTTACAGCCACACTTGCTGCAACAGCAGGACTGCGGCTTACAGCAGCAGGGGTTACATCCACACTTGCTGCAACAGCAGGACTGTGGCTTACAGCAGCAGGGGTTACAGCCGCACTTGCTGCAGCAGCAGGACTTCTGGTTACAGCAGCAGGGGTTACAGCCGCACTTGCTGCAACAGCAGGACTGTGGTTTACAGCAGCAGGGGTTACATCCACACTTGCTGCAACAGCAGGACTGCGGCTTACAGCAGGAAGACTTCTGGTTACAGCAGCAGGGGTTACATCCACACTTGCTGCAACAGCAGGACTGCGGCTTACAGCAGCAGGGGTTACATCCGCATTTGCTGCAACAGCAGGATTGAGGCTTACAGCAGCAGGACTTCTGGTTACAGCAGCAGGGGTTACAGCCGCATTTGCTGCAACAGCAGGATTGAGGCTTACAGCAGCAGGACTTCTGGTTACAGCAGCAGGGGTTACAGCCGCATTTGCTGCAACAGCAGGATTGAGGCTTACAGCAGCAGGACTTCTGGTTACAGCAGCAGGGGTTACAGCCGCATTTGCTGCAACAGCAGGATTGAGGCTTACAGCAGCAGGACTTCTGGTTACAGCAGCAGGGGTTACAGCCGCATTTGCTGCAACAGCAGGATTGAGGCTTACAGCAGCAGGACTTCTGGTTACAGCAGCAGGGGTTACAGCCGCATTTGCTGCAACAGCAGGATTGAGGCTTACAGCAGCAGGACTTCTGGTTACAGCAGCAGGGGTTACAGCCGCATTTGCTGCAACAGCAGGATTGAGGCTTACAGCAGCAGGACTTCTGGTTACAGCAGCAGGGGTTACAGCCGCATTTGCTGCAACAGCAGGATTGAGGCTTACAGCAGCAGGACTTCTGGTTACAGCAGCAGGGGTTACAGCCGCATTTGCTGCAACAGCAGGATTGAGGCTTACAGCAGCAGGACTTCTGGTTACAGCAGCAGGGGTTACAGCCGCATTTGCTGCAACAGCAGGATTGAGGCTTACAGCAGCAGGACTTCTGGTTACAGCAGCAGGGGTTACAGCCGCATTTGCTGCAACAGCAGGATTGAGGCTTACAGCAGCAGGACTTCTGGTTACAGCAGCAGGGGTTACAGCCGCATTTGCTGCAACAGCAGGATTGAGGCTTACAGCAGCAGGACTTCTGGTTACAGCAGCAGGGGTTACAGCCGCATTTGCTGCAACAGCAGGATTGAGGCTTACAGCAGCAGGACTTCTGGTTACAGCAGCAGGGGTTACAGCCGCATTTGCTGCAACAGCAGGATTGAGGCTTACAGCAGCAGGACTTCTGGTTACAGCAGCAGGGGTTACAGCCGCACTTGCTGCAGCAGCAGGACTGCGGCTTACAGCAACAGGGGTTACAGCCACACTTGCTACAACAGCAGGACTGAGGCTTACAGCAGGAGGTGTTACAGTCACCTTTGCAGCAACAACTCTTCTTGTTACAACAACAGGGGCAGCAGCCACACTTGCTGCAACAGCCCTTCTTGAAGCAGCAGGGGGCACAGGAGCTTTTTTTGCACTGCATAAAGCCGAATGCTTTCTTGCAGGCCATCTTGAATGACGTGTATATGAAGCTGAAACACACAGAAAGCCCATTTTTGTTGTTGTTAGATAAACAATTTTCAGGATACTCACATTCTCATTGTTTATGGCATTTTTTTTTTGTAGTTGAGCCAGAATTCAGAAACACATTTTCAGCATTTTAACGTGATGCATGGCTAAGCTCCCTATCTTCCAATGGTATCAGGAAAATGTTTAAAATTATAATTTCCAGAAGGGAATTTCTGGTAGCAAATGAATTTTGGTCCTTGGGGGGGGAGGGTGGTTTGATTAGTCCAGAATGCCTCCCGTCATTATAAAACAATCAACAGAGAATCTTCTGGAACTCGTCTTGCAAGTAGTTCCACAAGCCATTATCCACTAACTCATTAACTGTTTCATTTTTGAGGTTGGAGAAGTCCCAGTGCTACCAATAGTCTCCCTTCTTCCTTGCTAGTAAAGAAAATCAGGTTTGGACTTACCTTGTTGAGTGGCTGGATCTTGACAGGGGCACAGACGGCCAAGTGAATGCATGGAGAGTGCAGGATGCTTTTATATAGCTTCATGCGCCCTTCCCCTAGGAAATGAGGCACAACCAAGGAACGGCAGTATTCTCATTGCTGACCTAGAAGCACATGTCTATGCGCTGCACCAAACTTCCAATCCTGTGTTCTCTAGCGGGTTTGTTCACTTTTTCCATTATGGGTGAATTTTTTTCCCAGGGTGTATAATTAGAGCCATCTGAAGTTCACAGGACTGTAATTCTTACACACCACACCACGGGGCACTTAAAGAGCTCATTTCATGAATAATGCTTTGGAGGGGTAATGCGGTGACCGCATGGGAAGATTCATGTGGCTGAAGGCCCGTCACGACTGTTTACTCAAAACCTCATGGGTTACTCCTCATTTGGTTACCCGTCGAGATGTTATTCTTAATTTTTTTTTTGAAAGTCGCTTGGTTTCCCTTACTAATTGTGATCAGCAACCACAGATGAACATTTGATATCGAGATAAATGAAGCTGAAACTGACCTAACTGGGAGCCTTCTGTACATTCCCCCCATCTCGGGGACATTCCTACACATTCTTCTGGCCTTGCTGACTTGAGTTCCCTCTTTAGGGGGACATACATGAAGCTCATTTGTCTCAGGTCATTTGTCTCTCATGGCCACCGTTGTTTACTCGACTCACAGTGGCTTACAGCCGGTGGCCAGGAGAAGATGAGGTTTGGCACCTCTTGATATAGTTGTCTGTGTGGGCAACAGTAAACCAAGCCAGAAGACACTGATGGACCTCCTGATGGCACCTGGGATTTTTGGCCACTGTGTGACAGTGTTGGACTGGATGGGCCATTGTCCTGATCCAACATTGGCTTCTCTTATGTTCTTATGTTCTTACATGCTGGTTGAGTCTGGAACCAGGGTCCACATACATACATATGAAGCTGTCTTATATTGAATCAGACTATGGTCCATCAAGTCTACCGAGATTGGCATTGGGTCTTCAGGGACTCAGACAGAGGTCTTTCACATCACCTACTGCCTGGTCCTTCTAATCAGGGATGGCAGAGATTGAACCTGGGACCTTCTGCAAGCCGGTCAGATGCTCTTCCACTGAGCTATGCCCCCTCCCCATGTTCTGGTGTTGTCCAGAAATACTGGCAGCCAAGATGGCCTCCCTGTGGTGTAACCTACACTAAAGTTAAACAATTGTTAATCTCTCCCCTTATATAAAGCCGTAGTGGGGTCCAACGTTCCAATGCACACCTACAGTGTTTGGGCGCAAGAACTTTCAGTCAGAAGACGCTGGCTGGGTTGGCTGGCTGCTTTGTGTAGTCCCGCCCATGTCAGCCCTGGCCAGCCCCCCCTGCCCGCCCAGTAGAAAGCCGGCAGTGGCGGCGAATGAGCCGCTGCATGCCTGGCTTAGCCCCTCCCCTCCCCCCACCCCTCGTGGCTTCTCCCGCCCCCCGCCAAGCTGGGCAGATGGGAGAACCTTTACCAGGACCCCCCCTTCACTTTTCCCGTTGCCCGGCTAGCCGGACGGCAGAGAGAGACTTTTGCCGGCCGCCCCCCACGCCTCCCCCCTTCTAACTTCCTTCCTTTCTCTCTCTCTTCCCCCCACTTTCTCTCTCTCTCTCTCTCCTACCTTCCTTCCTTCCTTCCTTCCTTCCTTCCTTCCTTCCTTCCTTCCTTCCTTCCT